TTACATTTTGAATTTTTTGTATATCAGATAAGAGTTTAATCGCTTTAGGTCCAGAATGGCCCTCCATCCTCCCGAGGCCTTTGGAACTATGAAGAGGATTGAATAAAAACCTTGTCCCCATTGATCGGGAGGGACCGGTTCTATTGCTCTTATTGTGAGAAGATGGGTAATGGCCTCCTTCATAAGGACCCATTTTGACGGGTTTGAAGGCGTTGGGCAAGAGATGAAACGGTTTGCCGGTTTTGTGAAGAACTCTAAATGCAGACCCTGGGTAACGGTGGACAAGACCCAGGCGTCTATGGTGGTGTCCCCCCAACTCCGAGAGAACAGGGAGAGGCGACCGCCTATGGGGGGGTCCCTCCCCGAAGTCACTTATTCCTCCGATAGGGACAGCCCCCCGTCCCTCGAAAGGGCCGCCTAGATTGCTGTTGTTGCCTAGGCTTGTTTCCAAAAGTTACGCCTGCCGGTCCGATTTCGGGGCAAAGGTTGAGACCAAGTGGAGCCCTGGGTATTGCCTCTGAATCCCTGACGGCGATAAAAAGGGGTAGGCTTTCTATCTGCCGGCCTGCCTTGGTGGGCCAAAACCCTTTTTCTTGTCCTTATTCTCTACCAAGTATGGCTCCAGGGCTTCTCCAAACAATTTTCCACCAGCGTAAGGAGCGGTGGACAAATGACCCTTAGATTTCAGATCCGCCTTCCATTGCTTAAGCCAAAGTAGGCGCCTGGCAGATATATTAGCTGCTATTGCTCTGGCTGAAAAACGGGCATGTAGCGTAGCATCTGCTGTGTATTCAACAGCCGCTAACAATTTAGCCACGCTGAATAATTTCTTGTCGGAAGACCCAGGTGCTGGGGAGAGACCCAGATTGGTCCACTGCTTTTTTTACCGTATTGGTAAAAATGGGGGGACAGGGAATGTGTTTTTGAGTTATCGTGGGTTCAGCGAACAAAGGATTTGCAGTTTGGTGGAAGGGACAGGTTCTGGATCAGGCTCTGGCGCTATCTGGGATGTAGCTGTGGCCTTGTTTAGAATAGTCTTGAACAGGGCGGGATCAAAGAGCCCCACAAAAGGAGATGACTCTTGAGGATCCCCTTCATCCTCTGATAAGGCTGCTCCCCCTGATTCCTCAATGTCAGAATAAGAGTCTTCACTCTGTGAGGAATGGTCAGAAGGTATAGAACAAACGTAATCCGGGGTGGTGGATTTACGTTGGGAAGGTGTAGAGTGTTGTGATTTCTGTAGGGATGAAAGACAGTCTAAAACCTGCGTGAGCATAGATTGCAATTGTTCCGGTGCAATCGTCTGTGACTGCTCGGTA